GTCCAGAGCTGACCATGCTGCTCAGTGTTCACTTGCACCACAGTTATTAGGAGGAAAACAAACCCTCCTTTCAACAATGACATTGAAAAATTATCAAGGTAAACGCTGGCCACTTCAATAAAGTGGCATCTAGTCTGTGACTTGCTGGTGGGGACAGATTTTAGCCGGTGCCTGTAGCAGATGGGCTGCCATCCATGACGCTCAGAGGGCTCATGGGGATAGCAGAGTCCCCTGGAGATGGCTCAGCGGGGAGAAGGAAGGGCAGGCGCCTTGAATTCTCTTCAGCCAGTGAAACAGTGAACATGAGAGGAAATGTGGATGTTTGGCAAGAAAGAAAGCATGGCCCATCTATTCACTCAACAAGTATCTACTGTGTACTTGCTGGGCCGGGCACTATTCTAGGTGCTTAATAATTAATGTCAGAGAATAGCCCTAACCCATTTGGCTCAGTGGATAGAGCATCGGCCTGTGGACTGAAGGGTCCCAGGTTCGATTCTGATCAAGGGCATGCACCTGGGTTGCGGGCACATCCCCAGTAGGGAGTAAGCAAGAAGCAGCTGAATCAATGTTTCTCTCTCATCGATGTTTTTAACTCTCTATCCCTCTCCCTTCTTCTCTGTAAAAAAAAATCAATAAAATATATATTTTTTAAATAATAATCTTTAAAAAAATTAATGTCAGAGAATAGAAGAAAGGTATTCAGGTGGGAGATACAGACAGTAAAAAACAAACATGAATTAATTATTGATTCAGTTCAGTGATCAATGGGAAACTAAGAAGTAGAGCATAGAAAGCGGGTAGAGGAGAGAGGAGGAGAGGGGAAAGTTATGTGTTTTTGGTGGGGCTGGCGACCATGTTTCTGGGTCTGAACGTCCTGCAAGTGTATAATAATGATGCAAATAATAACATGAATTGCTGACATTTTCCACGTCTGACTCGGTGCTAGGCCCCGTGCCAGGTGTTTGCTTGGATATCTCATTCAATCTGCAAGGCTTCCTGGGCTCTTAGACCTCCCAGGCAGAAGGCTAGACCTTGGCTCTTAACATTGGCCTCCTCCATCCTCATGCTCTGTCTCTGCAGTAGGACTTCCTCCAGAAATACTGGCTTTCGTTTCAAATCTTACTCTTGGTGGAGGTCCCCCCAAAGGCCTGTGCCCTCAGAGGCATGGGTTGAACTCCTCAGTGATGAAAGCAGGGGTCCTTTGTAGATTTAGGTGCCAGTAGCAGGACTTTCCATCCGATAGTTGAGGATGAAAAAGCAATGGGGAGGGGGGAGACTTGGGGTGTCTGTTGCTCAGAAGCACACACTGCTCCTAGACCCTTGGCTAGAGACACCAGCCTCCGAATGGCCAGTGCTATTGACTGCTCTGCTAGCTTTGCGGTGAGGACACAGTCCAGGCTGATTGCTGGTGGCCTCGGATTCGTTTTTTGTTTTTTTTTTACCCACTAGAGGACTTTTGTGTTGGTTGGAACCTCCATCGTCCCCTCAGCCAGGCTGGCTTCCCTTATCCCCCTTCCCACCCGACCCCCGTCCCAGGTGGGCCTGTGGGAGAATTATGACCCACAGCTCTGCAGCCCCAAGGCCCTGAGGCAAACAGCCAAATGGGCTGCCGACCCTTTCTGATAAGGCACCAACTTCAGCCTTGGCTGGGTACATAGAGCCCAGCCATCACCTCCCGCTGTCCGTTTTGGGGATTCATCCACCCATTCTGTCACTGCTGCATGTCTACTCTGTCCCTGGAGTTAGAATAAAAGAATAGGAGGAAAAATTGACAAGAGGGTGGGAAGGAAATAAGCAAAGAACTTATGTGCATAGCCCATGGACACAGACAATAGTGAGATGAAGGCCTGGGGTGGGGAATGGGTTGGAGGGGGTTCCTGGGCAGGGAGGTTGGGAGGGGAACATGGGTAATACTTCAACAATAAAGACCAAAAAAGTCAGTGGTGATGATAGTCATAGCCATAATTTGGGCTAAAAAAAAAATGGTTCCAAATATAACATGGCTGTCATAGAGGATGCTTTTGGTAAATGAATGAATGAGCAGAAACAAGGGTTAGAAAACTTTAACACAGATCTTATCAGTTTGGTAAGTCAGGAGGCAAGTCAGGACTTCAGATAACACACACCAATTCCTGGAACTTAGTGATGTTTTTTTCTTATTGCATCTGTCACTTTCTATTCCACTTTCTGTTCTGTTCCTACTCAATTCACCTCCTTCTCCTAGGCTCTCTCCCATCCCACACACCACCCCCTGTTTTCATGGAATTGCCACCTGCCCACAACATCTCTGGGCTTCTGCTGCCTGCACCCCAAGGTCTTTAGACGTGTCTATTGCCATTAACATAGCCTTGAACATGCCCTTGGTCCCCTCTCCTAGCCCTCTTTTCCTACTCATTCCTCTGCGTCAGTCCTGAAGCTGCCTCCATGGTTTTCCCCAGACAGCACTGGCACATCCCATCACCCGTTTCTGCCCTATGTCTGTCTGCATTGCTCACTCTCTTCTCTCCAAGGAGATCTCGCTTAGTTTAGATGACACCAATGACACTTTCCTTCCCCTCCTTCACCTCCTTAATGTCCCCACCACTCCTTTGGTCCATTCCCCATCATTCCTCACAATCATAGTTTTCTTCTCATAGTCAAATGCAAGGACAAGAGAACATTTTCATATGGCCTAATATCCACTCTATGGCCAAGCACTCAATACATGGCAGAGGTCACTCGGAAGTAAATCACTGGAGGCCTACCCAGCATCCCCCACCACAGAAAAATCTTTGAACCCCACTTTTCCTTTGGCTTATACCAGCTTTGCACACACTGTCAGACCCCCGCAGGACAGCAAAAAAATAAATAAATAAATAAAATGCCCATGAGAGCCATCAACCTCATTCCAAGCTTGTAAACAAGTTAGGTTTTTCGTTTGCTTTTGTTCTATTTTGTTTTTAAGCAAGCAGAGGCATCTGCTTGCAGGAGGAATTGTGGGGGAGAAAAAAAGTCAAGTAAAAATAAAAGCAGATCACGTAAATGAGTTGAGCTTTGTCTCCCTTGTGTTTCCTTTCCTGGTCTCTCTTCCCCCATCCCCACCCCCTCGCTTTCTGTTTTGCTTTTCATGCCAGTTGCTAAATACTGTAGTTTCAAAACTGCACTGGCTTTTCCAGAACCAGGAGGAATGTGCATTCGCACGTGGATTTTTCCACAAGAACATTCTCCCCGTCTTTCGGCTCTTCTTCGCCAGAAACAACTAGAACAGAAGATCAGATGCGCCCATCCATCTTTGCAGTTCTTATTCTAATTCGTTAGAGGCTCAGGAGGGGTGGAGGGGATGGTTTGTGTTTCATTCTGTCAGGCTGTTGTTTGATGAGGTTTGCACTCCATTTATTCGGATGGTTTTCATGGTTTCTTTGTTGTTCATGGAAAGACTTTGAAAGTCATAATTCTGTGTCCTCAAGCTCTTCTGCCATGCCTGCTCCATGTCACCACAGGACTCACATCAGGAGGAAGGAAAAGGGACGTTTCCAGCCAGTTAGTGAAGCCATTTCTGAGCACAGCTATGGAGGCATGTGGGAGAGGGTGGGATCACAGAGGTTCGGATTCCATGGAGATTTGGAAGCAAGGCTCTAGTCATTTCCAGGCAAGGCATCGCTCCATCCCCTCATTTCTTCTTCCCACCCCTCTTCCAGCCACATCTCTGGCCTTTTTTCTTTCTCTGTGGTCATCAGGCCTAGCCCTCTCCACTCTCAAGAGGAAAACATGAGAGCCCCGGCAGGTTTGGCTCAGTGGATAGAGTATTGGCCTGCGAACTGAAGGGTCTCAGGTTCAATTCCTGTCAAGAGCACGTACCTCAGTTGCAGGCTTACTCCCTAGCCTTGGTAGGAGCACAGGCAGGAGGCAACTAATCAATCTCACATCAATGTTTCTCTCTGTCTCTGTCTCTCCCCTTTCTTTCTACTCTCGCAAAACTCAACGGAAAAATATCCTCGGGTAAGGATTAACAACAACAACAAAAAAAAGAAAATATGAGGACCTAGGTGAGCCTGGCATGTGTTCACACCTCTGAGACATCATCACAGGATGGGTGTGCTGGGGAAGGGCTGGAGCTGGCCACCTGAGAGATCGTGGGCCTGGACTTTGAAACGTTCCTCCCATGGAGTCTTGAATCTGGATGCTGCCCATCTCTTCAGAGCTGCTATGGACATGTTTTCTTTCTATTTACATTTGCAGAAAGCTTTGTAAGACGTCTCACATATGTTTAGCATTTGATCATCACCTGTCTTAGTCCGTGGGGACTACTCTCACAAAGTACCATAGAGTGAGTGATATATAAACAACAGAAACTTCTTTCCCACGTGTTTGGAGGCTGGGAATCTGAGATCAGGGTGCCAATGTGATCAACTTCTGGCCAGGACCTTTTCTGGGTTATAGATTGCCAACTTTCTATGGCATCCTCAGGCAGCAGGAAGAGAGCGAGTAAGCTCTATAGCCTCTTCTTACCAGGCCACTAATCCCATTCCTCAGGGCTCCACCCTCACTCCTGATTACCTCCCAAAGACCCCATCTCCTGATACCATCACATTGGGTATCAACCTATGAATTTGGGGGAGAACACATACATTTAGTTCATGACATTAGCCCTACCCTACAATGTAGATACGTCAGGTAAATTTTAAGTTTCATATTAAAGAAGGTTGAATACAGGAATATGTTGTGATTCATCCAAGGTCATTCATTACAACAAGTAATGTTGGGGACAGAATTTGAACCAATATTCTGACTTCAAATTCAAGGTTCTTCTGTTACTTTGGCTCCCAATCAGAACATTCATGCTCTTTCCACTCACCCCACCTTTACCCCAGGGCGAGAACACACTTCTGGAATTGAGTGATGTCTGAAAAGTGATTGCTGAATTAAATTTAATTTCTCCTGATTACTACAAGATCATCTTCACGCAATCTTTCTGCAAAGCAGGAGATGCTGATGTACAATTATTTATTATTTTTCATTAGATCCTTCTTACGACTCAGTCAGGAGAGGAGGGTGGAGCAATAACATGAATTCTGGCCTCAACAAAAGTAAGTAAATGTCACTCTGTCTTTGGGAGGAAAACATTTTTCCAAGGATGGGGTGGTGAACTGGGTCATGAGATAAAAAAGGAGAGGAGCAAGCATTTGTTTTCCTGTTTGTTGAGTGGGCATCTAAATTAATGCCAATTTAGGGCCTGTCGGTGATGCCGGTTCCTTAAAGAGGGTTGGGCTTTTCGTTCAGAGCCTTGAGTTTGGTTTCATGGCCTTTGGTTTGAGAACTATTGAAGGCAGAAGGTTTCTCAGGACAAGGTTCTGTGTGAACAAATAGTCACTGAATTTGGATTCTGTCATTTAAGTGATGATAATGACCCTCTATGATTTTGCTGCTCAAACCGTCGAAGCTCAATCATGTCAAGGTCACTGTTCCCATTTCATGAGAGGTTGAGATGAAGGATAAGTTGATGAGATGGAAGGGATCTGAGACATCAATTGGAATTGAAGTCTGACCCCAAATTTCCCATGAATGGGGGTGGGGGGAGAAGAGAAGGACTCAAACTCCTGAAGCAGAATGTGTTCTTACTGCCTGTAGGGAGTAAAATATCAAGTGCATGAATGGATGTTGAAGGAAATTATTTCAAGAAAGAAGTTGGGATTACAAATGTATGCCTCAGCAATAACCAATATCTCTTTTTTAAAAAATATATTTTTATTGGCTTCAGAAAGGAAGCGAGAGGGAGAAGGACAGGGAGAGGGAGAGAGAAATATCAATGATGAGAGAGAATCATTGATTGGCTGCTTCCTGCATGCTCCCCACTGGAGATTGAGCCCAAAAACCCAGGTATATGCTCTTGACCAGAATCAAACCCGGGACTTTTCAGTCCAGAGGCCGGCGTTCAATCCACTAAGCCAAACCCTCTAGGGCCCAAGATCTCTTTTAATGATATGTGTGATTATTTGTTTACTCTGTGCCCAGCACCAGGCACATTGAGGTTCACAAAGATGAGTCAGGCTCAGAGCAGCTGGGGAGAGAGCCTTCATTCTTCACTCTCCACACATTACTCTTTATCCGTGAACCTGGGACCATCCGAGCTGGCTCTAGAGAGAGAAGCAGAATGTGGACCTGCAGTAATGGGAAAGACAGACCCTCCCAGAAGCGGGGACCAGGGAAAGACATCAAGGTTGATGTGTCTGACAGTCAGGGAGGACTCCAGGTTCCTGGAGCTTAGCTGTGTGAGGGGAAGAAGTCTGGGAAGGTAAGGAAGGGGAAAGAAGGAAACCTGGAGGACAGACCTAATTCTGTAATCAATGAGGAGTCACTAAGGTTTTTAGACAGGCTACAATGGTTTAGGGAGATTAAACTGGCTAAATAGCATGTGACGGGTCTGTGGGAAGAGCGAGTAGTGGTGAAGATACCAGTCAGACTGAGCCTTAGACCATGGAAAACAAAACACAAACAAAACAAAAAAATAGCCCAGATCTAAAATTGGCATAACAGGATGGGAAAGGAATGGGAAGGGTGCATGGGAGATCCCATGGAGGAAGCTCATGAAACAGTCAACATAGGAAGCAGGTGCTCTTCACTCAAATGTCGCCTTCTCTTGAAGGACCTCTCTACATTTTCTATTTTTACAATGAAATCCACAGTCCCGGTACCATTAGCCATGCTCTCCCAGGTGTTCATTGTTGTTTGCCACTGTCTGCACTATCAACTTGTAAGTTCTAGCAGGTGCTGCTGCTTCATGGCCCAACCCCTAGCATCAAGAATGGGCAGTGCACAGAAGAGTCTAGATAAATAGCTATAAGAGAAAATGAGTTGATGAGTGAGTGAGGGAGTGAGTGAGTGAGAAAGTAGCTTTCTCTTCTGGAGGGCATTTGACAAACAAGGTATTTCTCTTCCCTTCGGAGGTGGCCCCGCTGACCGGATTTCCTCTTCTCTTGCTGTAGGTCCTCCCTTGGCAGGAGCACAAACGATGAGTAAGAATACTGAACAGCGGCCCCAACCAGGTACATGTCCAACATGTGTAACCCCTCCTCTGCTTCTCACGCAGCCATGTGGCCGCCTGAGGAGGACTTAAACAATGTGCTGTCTGTGTCATCACTTTTCCACGTAGGGCCTTTGTTTGACACCATCACATATCTGAGAGTCAATACTGGCACTGGAATGAGGTTGTTAAATGTCAGGGGTGAAAGACACATTAAAGATGAAGTCTTCCAATGCCTCATTTGGAAAAATAAAGAAACTGAGGCCCAGAGGGGCAACGTGATTTGCTAAAAGCCACAGAGCTCACTGACAAGAGCTACCCCATTCCAAGTACTCTCCAAGCCTTTCGTATCTCACCAACCTTGCTTTCAAAAACACCTCCATCCTGTGATGGATCTACTTAACAATTTAGACAGGGGAACTTAAAAAAAAAAAAAAAAATATATATATATATATATATATATATATATATATATATATATATATATTTGTATTGATTTCAGAGAGAAAGGAAGAGGGAGAAAGATAGAAACATCAATGATGAGAGAAAATCATTGATTGGCTGCCTCCTGCATGCCCCCTCCTGGGGATCAAGCCCACAACCTGGTCATGTGCCCTGACCGAGAATCGAACCATGACCTCCTGGTTCATAGGTTGACACTCAACCACTGAGCCACACCAGTTGGACAGGAAGGAGAACTTTTGAAAGCATGGAATTGGAGACTTTTAGCATTAAAAAGGAACTTAGAGACATCTAGGTCTATACATCCTCTTTAACATCTCAGTCTTATGATTGCTCCACCTCTACTTGAATATTTATAACAACAGAGAGTTTACTACCTAGCTGGGCTCAATTCTACTATTTGAGCCATAGTCCCCTCCCTATAACTCACTCAAGTTTCCTAGTTTACCCTCTGGAGAAATCCTCCTCCTATTCTATATGAAGATCCTTCATATAACTGAAGGCTGCTCTTGTGCCCAACCTGAAAGGCCAGCCATGTCTTCTTCATGTGACACAGCTGAGATAAAGGTTAGAATAAGCCATTTTCTTGAGATGGGCAAACACTGTTTCCATCTCCACTAAAGACAGAGCAATAGCAAACTGACTTAAGATTCATCAGGAAAGTTTAGAAACACAAGACAGACAGGAGATTTGACATAAAAGATTTAAAGAGTCCCTAACAACAACAAAAATCAGATGTGACCTGCCAAAAAAATGTATGTTGTCATACTGTGTGGATAGAAAAGGGTAGGCTAAATGGCCTTAGGGATTCTTCAATGTTAATTTGTGGGCCTAAGTAGAAACCCAAAAATCATGTTGATTTTTTTAAAAATTGCAATTATAACCATAAAAATAGTAAAATTGCACCAAACATTTAACAGCATGGTCAAGTAATAATCAAGCTCTCTACCATGATTTCCCCTGAAAAAGGAGACATACCTTACGTAAAACCAATATTGCAGAGATTTTTTTTATAGCTAATCACATAAATGTTAAGTAAACTGAGATACAAGAATAGTCACTTTATACTTAAAATACAAATTCTGGTTGGTTTAGTGTTGACATTTCCAAGCTTAAAATCACAGAATGTTGTTCTAGAAGGGAACTGAGGGATTCAGTAGCCCAACCCACTCATTTTGCTGATGAGAAAACTAATACCCAGACATGTTCCAATGGCCTTAGTTTATAACATAGCTGGGGCTAGAAACTGGCTGCTTGATTTTGGAGGGGGGGGGTGTATGTTTTATGCCTCCATAGAAAAGCAGAGGTGTGTAAAATTGTTAGTAATAGGTAGAGCTATGAAAGACCACTAGCCGTTAGATCTTCAAGCCCATGTAATAAATTATGTTCACCTTATTCGTTATATAGCCAGCTCCTTTCCAAATCGTTTCATTACTCTGTTTTAGATAGTAACAGCATTATCTACAAACTTTAGACACCAACTATGAACAAAATATAATGCTGTTACTATTCCACGTTGTTTCTATAAATACTGGGATGGATCCTAACTGTGATCAAGATCTTGGGGTCTGCAAAAACACACACACACACACACAAAAAAAAAAAATAGTCAAGTTTTCTGAAATCAGACTTTCCTACGATGTTGAAATAAAAGCATAAACCCTTGAGATATTCTTATTGTTAATTCTGCTATTCTTATATTTTTAATAACCCTGAAGCAAATCTCCTTTTTTGTTTCCTTAGATCCATATCAGATCCTGGGCCCAACCAGCAGTCGCTTAGCCAATCCCGGTGAGTTGACTTTGCAGGATTTTCTTTCTGGAATATTTTATAGCTATGTGAAATCACAGAGACCTCTGTCCGAAGTTCAGACACCTGACTGGGGAATAACATGTACTTCTTCCCTTGAAACATTCGGCACCTGTTTCTCTAGTGTACCTGTGAGGTCAGGGTGGGTTATTTGATGGCAATAGTGTCCATTAGCCAAGGATGTTTCTAGAAAGCAAGCATGTTATCACTGCACACCTGCACTGATACATGAATTATGACATGAATTATGACAAGCTGAGCTTAGTTATAAGTGACACAAGGAAAGGCTTCAGGAGGGAAAGATGGGGTAGGAGGACACAAAGCCACTGGGCTCTCAGTTGCCTCCCTCCTGTGAGGCACAAGTGAATAAATATTCCAAAGGTGTTTTATTATTTTTAAAATATATATATTTTTTTATTGATTTCAGAAAGGAAGGGAGAGAGAGAGAGAGAGAGAGAGAGAGAGAGAGAGAGAGAGAGAACTATAAACATCAATGATGAAAAAGAATCATTGATTAGCTGCCTCCTGCACACCCCCTACTGGGGATCGAGCCCACAACCTAGGCATGAGCCGTTGACCAGGCATGGAACCATGACCTCCTGGTCCATAGGTCATTGCTTGACCACTGAACCACATGGGCCCAGCCAAACATGTTTGATTCTTGATTTCAGAAAACATTGCAAGCTATCTGGCCTTATAGAAGAGGTGTGACCCTAAGAAGTTGCAGATGAAGTAAATTTGACAATGCATTTTAAGGGTTTATTATGAAAAGAATAACTCTAAATCAAGAGTTCTAAATCAAAATCACTGAGCATGTGAGCTGATAATAGGCTGTCCTAGTGCAGGAGTGAGGCCCGCACCCTCCCAGCTGTTTGCATCGACACTGCGGGGTCTCCAGTCTTCTGTGCTTGACCCTTTCTGCCCAGGGAAAAAGAAGCCAGCCAGCTCCTTCTTCTCTTACTTTTCTCTCGGCCCGGGTTCTTCTCTGTAGAACTTAGACTCGGAGCTGGACTCTAGTCCCTGCTAAGGAGCATCCTGTCAGCTGAAAGCCTGTGCCATGCCTTCTGCCTGTGACTGACAGCAGCCTCCTGGCCTAGACTCTTCCCCTGACATTAAAACCACTCCCTCACTACATAGGAGAGCTGGCCAGTGACTCAGGCCTTTACAGAAGGAGAAATTCCAAACTCTGGCCCAAAGGAGTGGCTGTGGTTTGTCCCAAACCACACAGCTAGCTCTGGGCCCTCCAGCACCTCATTACCCACAGTGCATTTTACCAGGCCTTGGGGCCCATTGTTTTAAGATCTAGCTATGCTTATAATGCCCATCTCAGCAGCAAATGATAAAGCAAATCAACAATGAAAAGAATGGGCTACCAAGGCAATGCAGAATGTAAAAGGAAATGCAGATGTGTTTTGTTTTGTTTTGTTTTGTTTTGTTTGTTTTGTTTTACAAAGGGTCAGGGAATCCTTGCACTTAGGGGATGGATTCTGAAATGTTCTGTTTTCTCGTTCCGTCTCACCACCTGCAGGAAGTGGGCAGATCCAGCTTTGGCAATTCCTCCTGGAGCTACTCTCCGACAGCGCCAATGCCAGCTGCATCACCTGGGAGGGGACCAACGGCGAGTTCAAAATGACGGACCCCGACGAGGTGGCCAGGCGCTGGGGGGAGCGGAAAAGCAAGCCCAACATGAATTACGACAAGCTGAGCCGGGCCCTCCGATACTACTACGACAAAAACATTATGACCAAGGTGCATGGCAAGAGGTATGCCTACAAATTTGACTTCCATGGCATTGCCCAGGCACTGCAGCCACATCCAACCGAGTCGTCCATGTACAAGTACCCTTCCGATATCTCCTACATGCCTTCCTACCACGCCCATCAACAGAAGGTGAACTTTGTCCCGCCCCACCCGTCCTCCATGCCCGTCACTTCCTCCAGCTTCTTTGGAGCCGCCTCACAATACTGGACCTCCCCCACGGGCGGAATCTACCCCAATCCCAATGTCCCCCGCCATCCTAACACCCACGTGCCCTCTCACTTAGGCAGCTACTACTAGAAGCTTAATCATCGGTGGTCTTATAGCTGAAGCCCATCCCTCACACTTCCCGGGAATACTTTGGACTCTAAAGGACATACGTGGCCTTGAAGGGAAAACAAAACTGGATATGTTCTTTCTTGTTGGATAGAACCTTTGTATTTGTTCTTTTAAAAACAAAAAACAAAAAAACAATCCTTTTTTTATTTTTATGTTGCTTCCTCTACCTTGAACAAAGAGATTCCATGGGCCAGTAGGCTAATGTGTATTCTCAATCTCCTATCAACTTCTAGATGGAACTTTTAGAATTACTGGAATGGTTGTATCATGGTTCTATGAAAGAAACTATAAATTGTCTTTATTATTTTTATGACCAAAGCAGTTTCTTATCCGCACACGGGTCTTATCATGGATCTCGTACAGTTCATTATGCTAAGGATTCGTGGACTTAACCAGTTAGGCTCTGGTTTGAGACTTAGTGAAAATAGAGGCAGGAAGCTTATAACCTTGTTTTAGGGAGACCTAGCTCAGTGGACAGCAACTGGAACATTGGTTGTAAGGCCAGTGAAGTTTTCACCCAACTGGAATTTTAAGAAAGAAGGTGTGTGTGTATTTAAGAAGCCATGGGCATTGAACAATTCCTCTCAATGGGCAATATGTTCTAGGCTGACCATTTCCTCTAGATATACTCAAGATATTAACTAAGAAATGTTCATGCAAGGGCAGACATTCCTGAAAGACAAAGACCTAGATAACTTTTTTTTTTTTTTTTTTTTTTTTTTTTTTTAAAGATAGTGACAGTGAGTCCCAGAACTTTGAAAAGTCTTAGGGATTTCTAAACACAAACAGATCCGCAGGCGCTGTGCGCCTGTCAGACCGTCAATCCAGGGGTCACCCAGTCAGAAGGCAACTTACTGTATAAATTATGCAGAGTTATTTTCCTATATCTCACAATATTAAAAATAAATAATTAAAAAAAAGTAAGAAGAATAAGTAAACGAGTTGACCTCGGTCACAAAGGCAATTTTACTATCAAATCAGTCGGTGTTATTTTTTTAAATGTTAATTTGTACATCTTTTGTCAATCTGTACATTTGGTCTGTTTGTACGTTTTTATAGCTGGTTTTTTTTTTTTTTAATAATAAAGCATAATGTGACTATTGCTGAAAAGGAAACGGACATTTAAGTCACTGACTTGCTAGAAAGAGAAGCACTGGTTGTAGTTATTTAACAGGTGAACACACGTTACCCAAGGAGAGCCATTGAAACGTTCATGCTTGGACATGTTTGTACATACCATCTCTCCTGCAATCACTGCAACTTTTAAAGGAACAAGCAAATGTTCCCTTGTGGGCACAAGAGATTTTCCTGCCCTCTATATGCAATATATTTTTTAGATATTAAAATATATATAATTTTGCAGGTAATCGTTGACCTTTGTAAACTATGTTAAGCTGACAACTGTCCATGAAGATTATGTTGTAAAATAAACTAAATAAATTGTGCCTTCTTCTCTGAGACTTGAGGATGTCGTCTCCTTATTGGCTCTCTCCCATAGGCCAAGGTCCATCCTGGGCCAAACTGTTTGCTTTGTTGCAGTTCTTGGACACAGATTGTCTATGGCCTTGACTGTCATCCTTTTTGGCTGGAAGGATATTGAAATAAAATAAAAAAGAAATATCTGCAAGCATCATCAGCCATGTGAAGGTTAATGTTAAGTATTCAGTTGACTGGGCCACAGGATGCCTGGATGAAACATTATTTCTGGGTATGACCCTGTCTATTAGACTTCATTCTATTGCATCCACCATACTCCTCAAACCCAAGTGGCCAACCCCCCCTGATACTCCATCAGAGAATCAGGTGGCCCAGCTTTTAGCCTGTTCCATGCTTCTTCTATGTCTCTGGATCTACTTTGTTCAATAGTTTATTTTGTTCATTATAAGATTCCACATATGAGTGAAAAAGGGGACATATTGTAATACTTTTAACAATAAAGATTAAAAAAAGAAAGATGGCTCAGCTTTCTCTGGTTCCAGGCCAGGATTTTATATGGCCCACGCAAACTTGTACGATCCTTTTTCTTCCCAAGGCAAAAACTTTCTTCAAAGTGCTTCATTGTTAGGTAGCTTGTTTTCAATTTCTCTTTTTTTTTTATAATGGGAGCGGGGGGGTGGTGGGGAGGGGATGAGGCTTGGAAGGTCCTGATGTGAGGAGTGAGACCCATAGTGCTGGTAACCCTATGAGCTTCCCTTGGTAACACCGAGTATCTTCTAGACAACCGGTCTACGCAGGCAGAATGAGACATGCTCCAGAACTTTGGTCTCCAATTTGTTTAACTTGCACTCTGCCATTAAAAAAAGATGTTAGGCCGGCGTGGCTCAGTGGTTGAGCATCGACCCATGAACCAGGAGGACACGGTTTGATTCCCAGTCAGGGCACATGCCTGGGTTGTGGGCTCAATCGCCAGTGGGGGGCATGCAAGAGGCAGCCAATCAATGATTCTCATTATTGATGTTTCTGTCTCTCTCTCCCTCTCCCTTCCTCTTTGAAATCAATAATAAAAAAAATAATAGAAATAAAAAGAAGCTATTCCACTCGCTCACAGGACCAACACACCATTTTTTCCTTAAAGGCATTTGTGCGGAGGAAGGAGTAGCAATGCTCAGATTTAAGACTGACTGGCTTACGAGAGGCAGCCAACTGGCTGGTCACAGAGGACAAGCGGGATCTTGTCCTCTGGCTTCTGGCTCAGCATTTCCCCCACTCCAGCGTTCCGCGCCTACGCCATGACGTTTATTTGTTCTAACCAACAGTACGAGCCAAGGAGAAAGAAGCGTGGCACAGCTGTGGGCAGTTCTCCTGGAAGCCAGTCTTCTCCACAGTTGACAGCCCTTTGGAGCAGGAGGTCGTATTTTTAGTGTCAAAAAAAACAAAACATGAAGGATGCTCTGTTTTCAATATCTGCTGTTCTGAGACATGTTTATTGGTCAGTGGCCACCAGAAATGTAGTCACACCTAAACTAATCATTGTTTTGTTTAAGCAAGAATATCTCCATGCTATGGAACAATGAATCAGATGTTTATATAGTCCCATTATCCGCAAACTGTGGCTCGCGAGCCACATGAGGCTCTTTGGCCCCTTGAGTGTGGCTCTTCCACAAAATACCACAGCCTGGGTGAGTCTATTTTGAAGAAGTGGCATTAGAAGAAATTAAGTTTAAAAAAATTGGCTCTCAAAGGAAATTTCATCTTGTACTGTTGATATTTAGCTCTGTGGACTAATGAGTTTTCCAACCACTGATGTAGTAGTCCAGGGGTCATGCATCAAGTATGGGCCATCAGATGGGGTATGACTGAGTCATTTAGACCAAATGACATCAAGAGGCTCCAGAACACCACGTCAGGAAGGAACATGGGTCTCTCTTTTTTAAAATTTTATTTGTTGGAGAGAGAGAGAGAGAGAGAGAGAGAGAGAGAGAGAGAGGTGGATTTGTTGTTCCACTTCTTGTTCTACTCATTGGTTGATTCTTGTGTGTGCCCTAACTGGGGATTGAACCTGTAAACTGTAAACTTTGGCATATGGGGAGGATGCTCTAACATACTGAGCTACCTGGTCAGAGCTTAAGCCATCGTGCTGCCAAACCAAGGCAATGGTTCGGGGAGAAATAAAACACAAAGCAAAATGAAACAAAAGGCAGTGCTTTCTGTAGATCTCTGGGAACTTGGCTTCGCACTCTGCTTCCTCTAATATCTGTTCATTAACAGCCGTCCTGTAAACATGTCACCTTAAACACGATTGAAGAGACACCACGTTGGGAAGCAGCCCTGGGCCTGGCTGCCCTGCTCCCCCTGAGCTTGGGATCTGCCATTCACAGCAGCACCTGGCTGGTGGCCAGCATTCCCTCCAGAGGCTGTAAAACGGTGCTTAGTATCAATGGTAGGGAGAGGGGAGGTCATAAAGAACCTGAATGGGGGGCCAAGGGGCTGGGTTCTGGTGAATAAACAGAGGCTTCAGCTCGTATCCAGGAAGAACGTTGTGTTTTGCAGAATGCACAGCGGACACTTCATCATGTAGAAAGCTACTGAAGTTGAACTGCACTCCCTCAGCCAGGGAGCCAGGGGTAGGATTAGGAGAGGTCCGCTGATTTGGAGACTACAAATCCCAGGCTCCCTTGGGGGACGGACACTTCTGAGAGGAAGTGGGTTAGCCAGTCAAACCTCTAGGGTTGCAGCCAATTGAGGAAGCACATGAAGGGAAGCTTTGAGAAGGAATGTGGGCTCCCAAGCCTGGGGTCTGTCTCCCTCTCACTCTGGCTCAGCCTCCTGTCTAATTGTTTCAGGCTGTGTGAGCTGGGAAATTCCTAAGCACATAGTCAATTTACACTTCGCTTAAAAGCTCTAGGGGGAAACAGAGAGCTTTCCAGCGAGACCACTCACTTACCTACAATTGCTAAAACTTCTTAACTTAGATTTTTTAACTGAGTTGCTTTATGTGTTTGTTTAGTGGGAAGAGAGGCAATTTAGGTAGAGAAATGAGCAAGGAGGCAATGCTGAAGGACCTGGCTTCAATTTCTGAGCCTTCCATCTACTGGGCAACTATCTGCACCTACACATGGGGAGCTGAGCAGTCACTATCTCCTGCAAGAGTTCCTGTGGGGTATCAGGTGATCCCCGTGGAAAACCCATAATAAATTCCTGTACAGGAAGTAGATATATCAACAGGGTTATCTGTTGGTCTTTGCTAGGTTTCCTCCAAGAATGTTTATTGAGTCCTTGCTAACTGGTGAAATGAGTGGGGAGTTGAGTACAGAGTAGATTTTCGTTTTATGGCCAGAGGCATTTTTTAAAAAAAAATTTTTTTATTGATTTCAGAGAGGAAAAGAGAGGGAGAGGGAGATAGAAACATCAATGGTGAGAGAGAATCATTGCTTGGTTGCCTCCTGCATGCCCCATACTGAGGAATCATCCCACGATCCGGCCATGTGCCTTGATCAGGAATCAAATCGTGGCCTCCTGGT